GTTTGTCAAATAGGCGTCCCGTTTATTAAGAGTTTTAGAGAAAGTTCAACGCATTACTAGCGCGAAAAAACGAAAAGCAAAATTGCATACGTTAAAGCAACAATTGTTGGATCATCCACAACATTGGTCATGCCTAGCATCCAACGATTATAAGTCATTTACAAATTTCAAAGAGATGCGCTGCAAAAACAGATTTAAATTTAGATAAAATGATGAGGACATCACGGAAACTCAATCGTATTTTGAGAACTTTGGCAAATGGGTCAATGAGAAAAGCAAATATGTGTCGAAGATATGTGAGCTCGATTGTGCATTACTTACCCTTAGAAGAGTCCACGTTGATAATTAAAAAGTCGAATTTTGCAAAAAAATTGTTTCCAACGTAGAAGTGTTTAAGAGTTTAAAAAAACAACGTAAGAGCTTGAAGCCCCGTGAACACGGACGTTTTGTGCGTTCGTTACACTTTAAGGATATATTCCGAATATTTCGGACGAAAAGTCTTGGACAAATACCTTTTTTTTATTACTTTAACGTAAAGTCGGCTACGACCAAAACAATAAATAATTTACAAAAATTTTTAAATAATAATAAGTCTTCTAAATAACTCTTAGAGAGATATTTTTGCCAATTTGATAGTTTGCCCACTCAAAAGTCAATATGGAGTAGCTTTCGTAAATTGAAACAAACCCTACACGTAAATAATAACACGGCTTGCGATGATAAGGTGAGAATGAGTTTAGTATTTCAGCAGACGTAGCTAAATCTAGATGCATGATGTTGTGCTTACCATTCACAAAAGGCTTACGAAGGTGATGACTAATGTTCGAAATGATCAAGGAATAGTCTTTTCTTTTTTTTTTTTTGAAATGAATAAACGATTGGATGCGTTTGTTTACCGTCTACGGTATACAGGGCAAAGTGTCGACCCCTCGCCCACACCCCTCATATCATTAATATGTCTACGCCTCAATATTCTTTAAATGTCACCAAATGATAAAAACGAAAAAAAAAAACAAAAAAAAATTGTTTATACACCAAACGCGTGTCAATTGGAGCGTGCAAAATATTTATGACTTTTACATTAAAAAATCAACAATATTTTTCTAGAGTGTGAATGTTAATTTAAAATGTGCTTCGTATTGTTGACACTAACACATTCGTACGTTCATTCTTTCACACACACCCAATATTTCATTCAGTTGCTTTATGAAAAAATTTCAAGTGACATTTCTATGGCATGGAATATATACAGAGAATGAAATATTTCCAAACAGCTTTCCTTCACATCGTGTAGTGAATGAAATGAAAATTTGCATAATATTTACGTGAGAGTTCAAGTTGAGTTAATGGTTGCCCTGTGAACTCCGAATATATATATATATATATATATATATACATATAGATAAGTCCTTTTTGTGTGTGGCTTTTCGTTTGATGCCAGCATGTCTGCCTGTGTCTATAACATGTTTGGAATAAGTGTCTAAGAACACCTTTATCTATAACAACACGAACAACAAGTTTTATTAAAAATAAATATATGAAAAAAAATCATGCACCATAAAACAAATAACTTTATATATATATATATATATATATACATATGTATATATACAGTTAGTATTATATTCACAATCCACTGCATCTTCATGCCTGCATATACCTTCCCTTTTTCTTCTCGCCCTCACTCTGTGTCACTCTCTCTCTCTCTCTCTCGTGCTGCCTCTCGTAAATAAGTGCTTTAAGGTAATCCTGCCTTATATATAATATCCACGCAATGTTTTGCGAAATAACACTAAAAGATAAATACACTTTACATATGGTGGAATGTCAATGTAAAAGTCTTTTTAAAACAGCGTTTTATGCTAAACTGACAACAACAACAACAACAACAACAACAAAGATAGCTAATAATGGACGGGGGATGTCGGTATAAGAAGGAGAAAAAAAAAAAAAAACAGAAGAGAATTCATTTATGAAACTCATAGATAATCGCTACCATCAGAAGGTAAACGCATAGGTAGGTGCATTCATATCATCAGGCTATTTGCGACAACCAGAAATACGTATCGTAAGATTACATAACAAAGTTTTTAATCGTTCTATGCACGCATTTATGTATGTATGTATGTATGTATGTATAAATATGCAGTAATCTTTCAATTTATAACTTAATAAACTAAAACAGATAAAACTTAAAACAAATATAATTTTCCCCTTCCCATACCACATACCATACCAAATAATTCAAATATTCTCCCATCGTTTTTTTATTCGAATGATCTCGTTAAGCTCCTATATTATTTATCGCTATCAAATTATAAATATTGATATATTGATTCATCCATATCCCTCCTTTATATAAACGTTCACGTTTCGCATAAATTGATATAGAAATGGACATGGACCAGCTTGAGACGCCTTTGATATCAACTTGAAATTTGCTAAAAATATTTTTGAAAGGTTCATAAAAGTTTATTGCAAAAAATGAAGTGATCACTCTGTAAATATCTAGAATACTACAATACAAATATATATAGAATTGTAAAATTGATCGACTGATTTTGCCCATATTGGTATGAGATGGTTGCTACCAAAGACTTTGATCGCAAATCGAATACAACTTTATAACCTTATAACGGCCTTCCTGTCCGGAAATATCAACTACCTTTACAATGTTAGTTCGTTGGAATTACTTAAAAAAGAATCAACAATAATAGGAACAAAAGCAATAATTAAACCTTACGTTTCGGAACGTGATACAAACAACCTTGAAAATACCATACTGGAATATTTCATCACTATAACAACTGCCCGTCGCACTGTGGACAAGAGCTTCTGTGTGCTTCTCCATGAAGACTCTCATTTGCATACATAATCTTAATATGAAAATTTTACATTAACATCTTCGAACATTGGGTATTAGTTCCATTTTTTTTTTTTTTTTTTTTCATATACGCTACACTGCTTGTGGTCCAGTGTGCTATATTAAGTCCATACGATTTTATGTAACACTCAAAAGGGCTTACGACTAATTAACCTTTTAGTATATCGTTCAGTTAGAATAATCTGCTAAATTGATTTTAGCTGGTCTGTCTGTCCGTCTGTCTGTCTGGGTATGTTCTTGCAGATTTCACGTTTCATACAGAGCGAAATATTTGAGATATTTTGACGAAATTTGTGATATTAACCTTGACATTGGGCCAAAGAGAAATCCTATTGAAAATGAATTGGGTTCGAAGTATTTTTGCCGTCGCTTCTCGCGGAGCGGTGGTTATATGAAAAAAATGTCAACTTTCAAAAACTTCGTGATGAAAGTCGTTGCGTAACTGTAATATTTTACACGTACTAAATTGACATGAAAAATTTAGACCGGATGGGGTAATCATTTTTAACTGTCTGCCACTCAAACCTTTATATAGGAAAAGTATTTAATTAGCAACATTTCGTTGCGAAAACTGCTATATAATTATAATTTGACTATATCAATTTTGGACTGTGTAAGTCTATTCTTAGGAATCAACTCAATATGAAGATTCCCATGAAAGTTCTTAATCTTCATATGACAACAGAGTTGATTCTATAGTCTTTTATGATAACAATTTTTTGAATAATAATAAAGTCTCTGAAAAGAAAATTGAAATCGTTAAATTTGGAAGCATCCTGGTTCGCGTTTCGGGCAGCCTCCAAGCTCTCGTGGCAAGTATGTCTTTACATGAAAGCAAGATATAATTTTTGATATACCACGAGAATGAAAGACTGATTGTATTGGGCGGAGCTGTGTAGAGTATTTGATGGCGGACCTTGCCGGACTGTAATGTTTCTGCTTGTTTTCATTTAACAGCTTTAATCAAATGCAGTCCTTACGTGTGTTTTTTTTTTTTTTTATTAGTTTGTCTGGTAACATAGAAAGAAGAAAAACTGAAAAGAACTAAACGACCTTCACAATCCAGAATTGTTTAATAAATGTAAATCCGGTTTATACCCAGAATCACTTTCTGAATCGACATGGAGTCGTCTGTCCATCTGATATCTGTCCATGCACAGGTCGCAACTTTCGAGATATTTTGATGAAATTCGGTACACTGACATGTTTTGGACCAAGGACGAGCGCTTTTTCAACCACTGCCCACATAGAACCTTATTTTGAAAAGACGTTATGTGAAAAAAAAAGACTTTTCAGAAGTTCGCGATAAAAATGGCCACATAATAGAATGGAAAATTTGGACGGGATTGGGTCATCTTTCCAACCCCGACCCGATGACAACTTAATCTATTCGAATTTGCAGCATGTACGTCTATTGTTTGGGACCCGCACCATGTAAAAATTGCAATGATAAGCAAGCCTTTGTTTGCATAGCAACAATGTTCTGTTTTTAACATTTTAGGATAAGTATTAGTTCGTAAATAAGAGTAATTTGATATAAAGCTTAAACGTATCAAATTTGGACTAAGTAGGTCTATTTTTTGAACGTCATCACACAAAAGGATTGTTGTGGAATGCGAAATCCTGAAAATGGTTCCATACTAGCGACAAAATCTAAGTTATAGTTTGTATGACGAAAACAACTAAATAATAATTGAGGTATTGACCAGTCCCACCAATATGAGATGTGTGCCTTTGCATAAGAACAATGTACGGTTTTTCGTGGTATTATTACAAAAATAAATGAACGGCCACCCTTGCACGACCATAGTGCTCTCTCACTCATTTCGGACTAACAAAGTACCTCAGTCAGAAAATTCTCACTGGATGTGCGTCTAAGGTTTATTCCAAGATGCTTCTTGCTGCCATATTTAAGTAAGAATTTTCAGTTATCATACTCGAAGTTTATTTTCGAATGAAATCAAAGGGGGCTCCGCAGTTAGTTTCAAATTTCCAGCCATCGTTCAGCAGAATTAATTTTACTCATTTAAAATTTATTTTTTAATTTCATTCAATTCTTTAAATGAATTAAAAAAATATTATCGAAGGTTTTTTGCTTTTTTTTTGTTTCTTACAGTCTCGTACATCTCTAGTATCTAGTTCGGATGGCGGTATTTTGGCTGAGGGTGAAACATCAAGTGAAACGTCGCGTGGCTCAGAGGATTCTCCACCTTGTGATTTAGGTCTGGTAGAACGTCTGCTGTTGACACATCCAGTGTGGTTTTTACCCGGCATACAACGCTCTGGTGCTGTGCACTTTTTACAAGGCAAAGAAGAGGGGGTAAGTATTCGATTCATAACCACGCACAAACTTCACATTTTTTTTGTCTCCTTTTTTGTTTTTATAAAAACATGAACATGCCAGGAATCTTTATAAAAATATTTAATTACCATTGGTAGCAACAAAAAAAGCAACATTTTTTATTAGCAAAATATGTAGCAAAAGCAATTCAAGCCATCAAAATACATTTTTTACAAAAGAACATACAAACATTGTAGCTAGCTCGTCGCTCTGTATAGTATATGCTTTCTTCTTTTTTTTTTTTTTTTTTGACATCAAAGTGATATTAAAGGTTTTTCGGCTACAAAGCTCAAACGAAAATGTTTTTTTTTTTTTTTTTTTTTTTTTTTTGCTGTTAAAAAGGAAGATGAGGAAAATTGTGTTGTATATAAAGTTTATAATAAAAATTAATTTCGTTCCGTTTCTTTATTAAAGCAAAATAATTTTCAATTAAAGCAAAATGTTTTCTTTTTTTTCTTCTATGTTTCCCATACCATAAGTTGCGGTCTTGAATTCAACTCTTATGTAAGCAATTATTTTTCATAATATTAGAAAGAAAATTTAGGAAATAGAAAATTTCGCATTTCTTAGAAACTTTTTTCGTTCAACGATCAGTCACTCAGGTGATGTCCCTTACTCGTGTAGTACGGTAATGGTCACAAAGAAGTCAGCGAAGAAAAAGCTATGAGCAGAAGAGTAGTCGGAGCCAGGTGGGTATGCCCCCTCGGCAATTATTATAGCTTCACTGACTGAGCGCGCACTAGGGACTTGAACCCGCGCGAACACTAACTTGCTAGTCGCGACCGTTACCAATTCATATTACGCATAGCGATAGTTGTTTTTAACTTTAATATGCAATTTAAACCGGAAATCTCCCTTGTGCACATCTTTTGACTGGATTTGGTTCAATTCTTGTGATTTTGGAGAAAGTTGGATCTATGAAACGTTTATCAAATTCATCTGCATCGCAATCACGCTTAATTATTACATTTACTTGAGCGATTGTATTAAATTCGTTAAATGGTTGTGACGTATTAAACTACCTATGCAAGTCTTCATACGAAAATATACGTATATGTATTGGTGATCAAGGTAGTCATGCCTTTTTGCCTGTCGTCATGCCATATGCAAAACAACGCAACCTTACAAATTTGCCCCAGTTCACAAGTCCTCCCACAATAAGCGAGAAATCGCGCTATGAGTGAGCCAAAGTCTGAAGTTGTCCATCCCTTGTGTGCTGTCAGTCATTGTAAATAAAACGCACCACTGATTAAGATTTGTGTCAATTGTTTTTTCTCGCCATCATTTGCGGAATACGTCAGTTAAATTTTGTTCACGGGATATGTTACGCGACTAAATCCTTTTGAAATAATTTTCGATAACTCGGTCATAACTTGATCAATGATTGTTCGCATAACATCGATTGTTTACGTAACCGGACAAAAGAAAGTTTGTGTAATTACTTGGGCGCGAATAGATGTTAGTTTCAAACACACAATATAACAAAGATGATCTTTTTGGGCATGTGAATTAAGTCAGTTTTGTTGGGTTTAATGAAACAACTTGAACACTCAAAATATAGCTTTGAGATTATAACTTGCGGGAAGCTAAAACTTACAGAGAGAGTGAATATCATAATATGATGATTTGATAGCTTGATAGGAAGACGGATAGGTTAAAAAAATTATCGCATATTTTATTCGATCTAAATTTAAATGATCTCACTTTAGGTCATACAAGTTATCTTTAAACCGCTTAATATCGATTTCTTGCGCACACGTGCACATACAGACACACACACACACACACACACACACAACCACACTATTATAAGTCATTTCTTACGAGAGTAGTTTCTCAATGCTTTCGCAGGATCAGAGCTTTTATGCAAAAACTGCGTTCACCATTGTAAGAATCATTCGGTAGTTATCTGTAATGTTTTCAAAATCGAAAGAAACATTTTTTAAGCACTTTTGAAGATCCATATCTCTATTTATCTAATCATGTTCATGTCTGAAGAAAAGGATAAAGAATAATATCGATAAGCGGTTTCGAAGCTGGTGCTACTATCCTAACTCGAAAAGTCGTTCCACGTTTTAAATAATACAAATTTTATTGCGAAAGGTTTGCAATATATTTTTATGTTATTTTTTCACTCCCTCCTTCCCTGAGTTTATCGCAGTAAGTTTGTAATTCAATAGAAAATAATAGTATATGCAATCATCATCATTCGAGTTTCCGTCTCTGTGTGGCGAACATTTTAATTTTTGTCTCCAGTTTTATAAAAAATGTCTCCTCTTAGCACGGCATTTTGAATATGTTTTGAAGAATAATCGGGTTCTTGCTTTCGTTGCTAGTTGCAAAAGGCCACGTGGAAGCGAACTCTCGGAAGATGAGAGTTGAAAGATTGAAGGAATGAGACCGGCAATCGATAAATCGGCACCGCAGTACGGTCTCAAGTTATTTAAAAGCCTCCGTTAATTAGCGTTGAATTAAGCGCAGTGGACGCATCCCGGCACATTCGCCATTTAGCAACTAATGAACATATGAATTGCAGGGAAATAAATGTAGAATTAGGCCTAAATACAACGAAACGGCAAGTGCGGCCACTTCTTAAGGACAATCTACATCTTAGAAATGAAGACAAAATTGCCCAACCTTACTTCAGCGCCACCGAAATACCCGTATTGCATTTGCCGACGAATACAAATTTTGGGCGAAAGAGTTCAGAAATATTGTATCTAGTGTTGAGAAAAAGTTTCGTTTGGGCGAATCTGATGGTCACCGTAAATATTGCGGGGGTGTACGACGCCCTCGTGCAACCACGGCCATCGATTGTCAACATCGGAACAAAGCCAATACATTTTCCCGTAAAAAGCCTACATATAAGGCGTCAAAGCATTCAAATCGGATGCCAAAGTCCACGATTGTATTCGTTTTCAAATGCAAATGCATTGAAACTGCGACTATTTCTTTATAAAGTTTGCTTTAGATTTTAGCCTTTTGTGTGCAGGTCCAAGGACTCGCCGGAGCAATTTTAATGATTAGCGTAAACAATTGGATGCACAATCTACCCGTTAAACTTAAGTTCAATTTCTCCTTTTCATCCTGATGATTTTCATCAAGGAGAGGTGGAAAACTCAAAATTGTACATATAATATATAAAAACATAAAATTAAACAAGAAAAAAATATATATTTGGCTGTGATCGTAGCACTTTACACACACCGAAGAAAAAGCAAAAAGAATAAAATGATAGGTTGGCCATATTTCTATAGGCATAGTTTCTATAGACTATAGTCTCACGTAGAGGATATGTGGGGGACATTTTCATTGGCGTATATGTTGCAATAACTTGGTTTGCTTTCCAAAGTCGAGATAATCGCAATTTATGTTGCACGGTAAATGTGTGTAGGACTGATTTGGTCTACACTTTCTAGGCCAAATTGCGCGCAAGAACTTCTAATGATTTTGCCAGATTTGAAGACGATATCATAAGTTTTCCAACCAACAGTGTATTCACCACAGATACCATAGGACCACAAGACAGACAGGTCAGATATCGTTTACGTCAATTTAAAAGTTCATTCTTCCGGAACCAAATCGTCGATGCAATGAGCATAAAAACGTGACTTAAAGTTTCAGGCTAAACGTGTATAGTTTTAGTATGCACGGGTTCTTTCACTTAAATTTACTTGCAACTGCTTCAGAAAACTTAAAACACTGCACAATGTAAGAAGGTTTGGTTTATCTGTAAAACCGCAAAACTCTGAATCAAAACAAAATAAAAGGTTATAATCCTGTTAATCTCACTGAGGAGAAATGAGAAAAGAGAAAATGTGCGGCAAATTGAAAAGAAAACCGCCGCACAAAATGCCGAAGTCGTCATAAAAACATATTTCTCTTAAAACACAAAAAAGGAAAAACTTTTGAAATTTTAATAAGCAAAGCCAAAAGAAAGAAACAAAAGAGAAGAAAGTAATAGCATTCACCCAAATGTCGAAACAACTCTTAGGAATTTAATTTTTTTTCATCATACAATTTTCATTTCCCTCATATACTTATTGCTCTACGCTATGAACGCAAATGAATGGAATGCAAAAATATTCATCGGTGAAAGGGAATAGCAAAGCAAAGCGATAATCTTGAATTGATGGATAACTCGTATAATTTAAAAATGAATTATTTTAAGTCGACTTTAAAAAAAAGTAAGAAAAAAAAATTGAAATTTATGATAAAATGAAATTTGTAGCAACTCTTTAATCAAATTAATAAAATTGATGAACCATTAATGCACTCATTTCAAGGGCTCGTTCAAAACAGTTCAAAACTACGTTCATCGTAATAAAATCTTAAATCGGAATGTTGTTCATGTGTGATTGAATTCGATTTTCACTTTTAAATTGCGAGAATTCTGTCCTGATTCTCCGCCTGATTCTACCCCTGATTTACGGCGATAACCACATATGCTGTCTGTCAGCAAACATATGCCTGGTAATCAGAATCGTGCAGCAGTTGTAGCTAATTACATTTTGTGGTCATCAATACTTCAACAAAAAAAGATGAGGAAAACAAAAATCACCCCAATACTATCGCCTATTATATTAAATAAGTATTAAATATGTGTGTACACGTCCTGTGGAAACATTAAAAAAATGGTTTGTTTTACAATTTATTGAAAAATACTACGATAGGAGAACGTCGCACATTTATATCTAAAACATGTTCATTACCGACCGATGCTCGTAGATAGCATAGCATGAACAAGAGCACTACAACGTATCCGAAGAGTATTGTCATGAGCTTCCACTTCACTTATCTGTCATTTCATTTCAATTTTGTTTTTATTTATTTATTTTATTTTTTTATTTTTTTTTTTCCTCTCAAACTTTGATGGACAAATGATGACGGTCAATGTTTGACATTAACCATAGCTATATATATATATAAGCACATATAATGCATTTGCTGTTGTATGCATACGAAGTGACGATCATACC